CAGAATGAACCACTTGAGGGCAGGATGGTTGCTGAGGTGACCAGACTGAGCGGGAGGTATATGAGCCATAATTAGAATCTGAAGCTGCCTGAGATTCTACAAGGTAAGAGGGAGACAAAATCATTCACATCTCATACTGCTTATATAATAACCAACCAGTTTAATTAGAGCTTCTATTCATGATTTTAAAAACATTTTCCATACTAACCAGAACCAGACCCAGACCCAGAATGGCCAGGTACAAGGGAAATTCCACTGGTGTTCTTCTTTGAAGCAAAGTTTTTCATCAGTGACATTTGAGTCTGCACGTGGTCATGGAGGGCTTGGTATATCATGGGTGAATACATCCTATAATGATCTTGTAATGACCAGTTTTGTGGTAAGTCTGATATGTCTTTTCCACTTCCAGCAGAAGTTTCATTAGGTATCTTTTTCTTATTCCGTGAAGATGCTGATGGGGAAGAAAGAAAAGTTCTTGAAATATGAGTCTCCCAAAACTTTTACCATAAGATCTCAAACAAAAAAAGGGACTATCAGAAACAGTCCAATTTGTCACATACCACTACCTGTCCCCTAAAGAAAATCACCTGGAATTCTTTTTGAAAGTAGCTAATGAATTAAACACATTTCTCCAGTCAAAAATCAGCTATTAACTAATTCATTGATACTATTTGTAAAATTCCTCTAATTTTAAAATCTTTCTTAAGGGTATTGCATTGTCCCTGAAGTCTAATAAACCTCCTTTGCCTTGCGCCTTGTCCAGTTTAGGGTCTCAAGGGAAAAACAGATTAAGAAAGAAAAGAATACTTAGTAACAATTCTGTTGCTTTGACAGTTTAGAGGGAAAAAAATCAGAGCTACAAGATCAATAAAAAAAATGGACTTAATCTACACATTGAGCCCTCAAGAAAACCATCTTAACCTGGCTATTAAAGTTTTCTAAAGCCGGAACACAACCTACTTTCCTAGCCAACTTCCCTTCACCCTCAAATCAAAATTTTTCTAGCCAGGTAATTTAGATACCCAACAAGCTTCTCTCCCCTTTCCATAATATTGCTCATGATGATCATTCCTTCCAATCCAATTCTATCCAGCCAACAATACTTATCTCAGCTACTCTCTTCTGTGCAGCCTTTTCCAATCCAAGCATTCCAGTCCAGTAACTACTCTTCATCATCCCAGAGCATATTTGAACAAATCATATAACCCTGACCTATGTAGTATTACCCTAGACTGCCTATATTTTATTCTGTGCCTCTAACTAACCCATAAGCTTCCTTAGGTAGGACCATATGTTATACTTCACTATTTTCTCTTCTAAAGCCTGGTATTCATCCATGAACAATATAGAACCTTGATACTAATAAAGTAATAAATGAAAACTACAAAGTTTTCTGCATTGCACTACCTATGGATTGGTATAAAAACCTGAATTCTATTCCCCTCATAAGACACCCTTCCCAAATTAAAAAATAAATACTATTAACAGAAATGAGAGTGTTCAGATACATCTTAGGTTATTAAGGTACAAAGTAAATTGACACAAATATAAAGCTTTTGGTAGTTAACTACCAAAGCTGAACATACATACATTCTACAACACAGTAATTCCACTCCCAGGTATGTACCTAACAGAAATCAGGGCTTATGTCTACTACTATGTAAGAATGGTCACAACATTTTTTTTAAAGGGAGCAGTGTTTATTAAATTTCTGAGAAATCACATTTATATAAAAGAAACAAAAAAGACCAGAAATCCAAAAAGATGCAGTATACATTATTGCACTTGGATGAATATGCTGCTTATGGTAGCATAAAGCTCAGACCAGGATAGGCCAGGAGGAGGAAGAGTCAAAATACAGTACAAACCTCCAGGTAATATTTATTCTGGATTTTTAACTCTCCAGTAGCCTCAAAAGTATTCAGTAGATTGGAAACATTCAACATGTTCTTCACAAAAATGACTACAATGTCATTTTAGTTGCATTCATACTTTGTCCCAGTCACGTGCAAGTTCAACGTACAGTTCTATCTCACCTAATGAGACATTTGTAACACTAAAACATCCCAGCACCCAAAGGTCAGGGAAGAGAGCAAGGGAATGAATTTCTATTTTCCATATTTTAGGGAACAATATTGTAGCTAACATTTATCCTTTTGAGCATTCTTGATCTTGGTCATTTATATCAAAACTTGAGAAAAAGTGACAACGAATATAAATGAGTACTAACCTAACTCCTAGGCTGCTACTAGCAAATAAAATAAAATTTAAAACAAGCCCCTTGCTACATTCATGAAGGCAGCAATAACTTAACTGCATGTATAAGAAACAGGCTGTAAACCTGTAGAAAAGATAAACTCTGGCTTCTAAACAAATTATGAAATTGATTTTGCCTATACCCTTGAGTGTTACCCAGAAAAATGTAAACCTGTGGACCTAGTTACCAGAACATTTATCCTAAGTCCAGTATGAATTTAAAGTTTGGCCTGAGCTAGTTTTATCTTCACGTTTTCTCCATGAATTCAAATGTATTCAAGTAGTCAGAATGTTGTACATTAGGTAAACCTTTCATGCAAATAGCCATATCCTTGATCATGAAGCCATCCTCAATGAACTCAATACAGACTTTTTGCAAAGTCACGTTCTTTATCGTTATCAAGCTTTTCTCTGTGGGCTAACTCTCTGGTTCAGGCAAAAATGGAAGCAATGGGATTAATGGACGTCTCCTGTCCTTTCTGGTGCATGCAGTAGCGATGGGTTACAGTCCTATGGGCTGCCTCTGCTTCTACTGACTTGACATCTGGACAAACCACCACACTGGTCATCATGCCAAGAGAACTATACCCTTAGGCCACAGAGTCCATCACCATCATAGTTTTTATAGGCCCAGATGAAGCATCCCCCCTGATTTCATAGCTTGGGCCACCATGTCATCAATGAGCCTATATTCACACAGATCTTCGGGGCTTCAAATTGGGATTTGTGCAGCTTGTCATTTATCGCCTGAAAGATGTCTTTAAAACACCCCCCATATTTCTTCAGAGTAGTGTTTCTGGTGCTCAGATACAAAGGCCAACCCTTACACATGGCCATTTAGAAAAAACTGTGTGTAAAATCTTCAACTGACTTACCTTGATTATAATCCCCCTGGCAACAACACCATCATCTTCAAAGTTATGTACCAAGTATGTCACCTGTGGGTTCCATTCACTTGGTGTGTACGTTATCTCTACTTTTCCAGGCCCGGGAATAATAAAATCAGTTGCTCTGTATTGGTTCCCATAAGCATGACAACCTATGATGATGGGTTTCACCCAACCACTCATAAGCTGGGGGATATTTTTGCAGATAATAGCTTCCCTGAAGATAGTGCTGCCAACAGTATTTTGAAAGGTACCATTTGGTGATTTCCACATTTGTTTCAACTTGAACTCCTCAACCTCTTCTCATCATGGGTGAGTAGCACACTTGACACCTATGTTATGTTTCTTTATGGCCTCTGCAGCATCCTTGGTGACGTGATCATTGGAGGCATCACGATTCTCTATGCCTAAGTTGTAGCTATGTAGATCTAATTCCACACAGGGAAAAATGAGTTTTTCTTTAATCAATTCCCAAATGATTCATATTACTTCATCTCCTTCCATCTCTACTACAGAACCACCACTGACTTTTTGGACATTTTGAGTTTAACAAAACTTTGTAGTGAATCAATTTTTAACCACCCCAAGTCCTCTCAGTCTTGCAGTCTCAACTGAATGCAGTTCATCTCCTCCTAAATAAAGGTCAAGGGAGCACAAATAGTCTTTGCATGTGCATAGCCAAGGACACCCAAGATGGAATCCCCACTTCGTTGTCCATTAGCAAGTCTTGGGGTTTACAAGTCTTGAGCGACACTGTGACCAGCAGGCTCTCGGCCTGCACACGTTCTGCAGCCATTGTGCAAGTGAACTGCAACTGAAGCTGGCTTGATCCCTTCTTCCAGGTCTCCAGGTCCAACCTTTCCTTCTCTGGTGCCAGGACCTTTAAACCTCAGCACTAGGAGCTGACATATGGTATCTCTGCCACCCCTTCTCCCTCAGCCCTCAGCAGCCTAACTTCACAACAGCTTTATTTGCAGTAGTAAAAATCCAAAAACATCATAGCCATGATAGTAGAAATGGATAAATTACAGAACATTCACATGCTACAATACTATACAGCAACAAAAAAGAACAAAGTACTGGTATACACAGGTAATAAGTACCCAGATAAATTTAACAGACATGGGTTGAGTGAAAGACGTCAAACACCAGAGTATATAGCATGCTATTGTACTTATAGGAACTTAAAAAAAAAAAAAAAGCAAAACTAGCAAATGGCAATAGAAGTCAGGAAAGTGGTTACCTAGGGATGAGGGCATAGGCGGTGTTGAGGATACTGATAGGGAAAAAGCATTGAAGGGTGCTAAAAATGTTCTATATCTTAATCTAGGTGGTAACTATGTGAGTATATATACATACATGTGTGTACACACAAAAATTTATTTGGCTTTCATGTACTTTAAAATTATTCCTTAAATTTCAAAAACTACAAAAATTAAATTAAAAAGTATAGAATCCCTCAAATATATAACATACAGCTTATCAAAAATAAAAGCATTGCTAAACGCATAAAACTTACATGTAAAAGCAAACACAAAGGTAAAGACAGATTAAATACTATAACCAGTGAAAATAGAAAAAAAATTTAAAGAATAAGATAATATTTACTATGAAAATGACTGGAGACATCAGATGGTTCCATTTTGACTTAGGGTATGCTTCCTTTTGAGATGACCTATTTCTATCAATCTATTTTCCACACCTGAATAAAAGCTTTAACACTTATTAGCAAGCAGAGTAACCTTGGGCAAATTACTCTCTGGACGACTTCTTCCTCTTCAGAAAAATCATGATAATAATATCTACTTCATAAGATTTTTGTGAAAAGTAAATCAGACAACACTTATAAAGCCCTTAGGTCAATATCTAACATACAATAAAAACTCAGTAAACGTTATATCGCCAAACAGTTGTAAAAACTTAAGATAAAGTAAATATATGACATCAATGACGTACACCTGAATATGTACCCTCTGAAGTGATTAAAACCAAGCGCAATAATAGTTACCTTCATTCTCTAAAGAAATGAGCTAAAACAAACTCGGTTAATAAATTTCTGTAAAGCATTATTTCTTATTAGAAATAAAATCTTATAACAAAACAAATGAAAAAGTATACTCTAAAATATTTTAACTTGGAAATCTAAAATTATAGAGGGTGAGATCGTAGTCCATGGCCATCTAGCATATTACTCTTCTTTTCCTTTTCAGTACTGGGTCTCTTCTGCTCTTAGATTTCCTTTGGTCCCTGAAGGTAAGAAATATCTGGTTTGATGGATTCTCAGGTTTGATACTCATGGCTCCCAGGC